GTGTCAATAATGTAGAAATAGTTCATATTTTTTAGTATAGAACCTCCTTCCCTATTACGAATGAAAAGTTATTTTATCTTCATTTGTTTCGTTTTAGAATCCCTTTTAATTCAATATAAAGTTTTATTTAAACCTTTATGAAATGGTTCAAATAGAACTTCAAAAAACCCTAAATGAAAAAATATTGTCGAATTTTGAACTCCACTGGCCTCGAAAGTAATGTTAAGAGTGATTGCAGCCAAACCTATTGCTTAGTCGACCCCATGTATTTGGTGAACAACAAATAACAGAAGGGGCAAAAGAAGAAAAAAGAAAGAACCTACAAGAACTAATAAGAAGGGAGTGACAATTAGAAAATCCCGATTAGATCACAGAAGCAGTAAACAAACACAGAAACGGAAAGAAAAAAATGTGTTATCTACAGCAATATTATAAATGATAATAATAATAAAAATAAATGTAAAATAAAAAGGTATATTAGAAATTGTGTTAGTTAATGCCCTAAGGGAGTTTCAGTGTGACCAGTAAAACGTAGACTGTAGCTGACGTTAACCTGTAGCTAACCTAGAAGTTGACTTATAAAATAGACACCCAAACTATACTCTTTATAAAAGAGAGAGAATTTATGTAAGACCTTTGAGGAATTTTGAAATTGACACTAATTATCATCGTTTACTGGATTTATCAGTCGCAAATGCTTCACTTTTATATAAAATGGTTCAACATGAACAAAAAATTGACAGAACATTTTATGTCAAATTGAATATTCCAAAATTAAACTTCAAATTGCTGAAAAGTGAAAAAAAAAAACACCGATGAAACATGTACCAAAAAGTCGCAAGGGATTCACATAAAAGAAATGCTAAAATTGAAGAATTGAAATGCAAAATGGGATAAATGTGACATCGAGATCTTTATAGTGTTTGAGTCAGAGAGTTTTTAGGCTGTAAATCCAAAACTGTATATCGCAGTTGTTTTGACAATGCTATATTTTTGAAAATAACCAGTTACAACAACGTTAACTAAGTAACCAGACCTTGGATATCACAAGCGTGCATAAGATTGGCTACAATCATCATTCGTACAGCAGACTGTAAAAATATATTCTTTATTTATATTTTGTAAACAAAGCCCAATAACAGAAGACAAGAAATTTTTAAGTGCCCTTATCGCTCTAAAAAATTTTTATCACGGATATCAGGTATTACAATAGTCTGAGATTAGTTTACCTTATTTTGATTACTTTGGTATGATTCACTGGCAGGATATTTGATAAGTTGACAGCAAAATCTGGATGTAATTTTAGATTAACTGGTGTACTCCTACTTCAAAAGTGAAGTTCGAAAACGAGGAATATCGATTTAGATATACCGAAGCGTATGTCGCAAGAGCTGGACGTGGCTCCGTGGTCTAAGTCGCCTGAAAACTGGTCATAATAGGTAAAGACAAAATTCCTATTTTGGAAATTTCAATGAAAGGGTCAGGTAATAGAGGGTCCAGGCTACGTCTCAACAATGGGAAAGTTCTCAAGTATTTGGCTTTTACCACCTTAATTTTAGTTGTAATTTTGTATTTCTCGAGAGTGGTAGTGTTCAGAGACTTTTAGATTTTTTATAAAATAAAGGGAATTGATTTGATTCAAGTTATTTCATGGTATTTTTGGCATTATGGCACCAACTCCATCAGGTACATCAATTTTATTTTTAGCTATTTAGAAATTTTACGGTTACTCTTCAATGCACAATAAATAAATAAAAAGGGTAACTTAAAAAATACGTATTTATTAAATTATTTACTGATTGATTAGGTACAAGAGTAGCATATACCGCATATATATGCCGCACATAGTAGAATTTGAACTAACAGAATGACTTATTATCTTTAATCTGGTGCAATTCTGCAGCCATTAGCTGCCACTCCATCCACAGATGACAGAAGACGAGTTGAAATTATATGCATAGATATATAATTGCTGGTATCGACTGACATTTTTATTTTGAAAAAACCTTGTACACAGGTTCAATTTTAAAACTAAAAACAATTAAAGTAATGTTAAACACCTTGTATATAAAAGAATAAAACAAGAATCGGATTATATTTTAAAGATTTTCTAGTTCAAAAATCATATAGAGATTTCACAAAATATGAAATAGTAATTATCTGAAAACGGTGATTACTGGATGTAGTGGAAAAACAATAGACATGAAGGCATTATTTTCTACTCTAAGTTGCAAGCTGTCAAAAGGACTGAGTAATTTTTTTTTCAAAAATACGATAATTGGAATTTTTATTTTGAAAAAACCTTGTACACAGGTTCAATTTTAAAACTAAAAACAATTAAAATAATGTTAAACACCTTGCATATAAAAGAATAAAACAAGAATTGGATTATATTTTAAAGATTTTCTAGTTCAAAAATCAAATACAGATTTCACAAAATATGAAATAGTAATTATCTGAAAACGGTGATTACTGGACGTAGTGGAAAAACAATAGACATGAAGGCATTATTTTCTACTCTATTTTCCAAAATCAGACAGAAGTTGCAAGCTGTCAAAAGGACTGAGTAATTTTTTTTTCAAAAATACGATCACTGGCTGAGTAAACCCATTAACTATCCAATTCTGGTGGATCCCACTACAGCTCCATCATCGACTAGGGGTAGACCAAGAAAAGAATTTTCGTCATCCAGCGATAGATCAAAATGAAGAAAAACTGAACAACTTCGAAGTTCATTTAGCCCTCAAGAATTGGCATTTGCAACACAAGTGAGTCTGTGTACTGCTGGTCAACTGGATGCGTCTAAGATTATCAGAGAAGCCGCGCTCAGTACTCCCACCAGAGCATTCAAATGCCGAAAAAGTTTCAAAGTAGCAACTGAAACTCCTATAACCTGTGAAAATGCTCTTTCGATATTAGTTGAGCTCAAGCTTTCAAGAAGTTAGTATTAAGGTCTACGATTAATCAGTCTTAGAGCAAAACTGCAAACTCTTTCCACCCAAGAACAAGGTAATAGAAGAAAAAATATCCTGTTATCTTCCACGGAATTCTACAAAAATTTCTGAGAGTGTGCTGAAGTCGAACTTATAAATATTAAATCACCCAGCTAAACGCATAATCGAAACTCAAGATGTCGTCATTGACTCGGTGACTGATGAAAACTTGCAGAACTTGCAGCTTCTTTGTAAATGTAAAAGTAAAAACAGACATTTGAAGGGCAAGATATTTCTGATGCCGTTATATTTTTTACAGCGGTAGTTCCTTTGCAGCTAATATATAGTGATGCTAACAGTAAAGAAGTTGTTGTTTGGAAGAATCCAAAAACATCATCTTTAAGATTTTGTAGACCACTTCGCATTCAATTTCTTGAAGAAACGACAGCTAAAATATTGTTGAAAGCCAACTAAAACAACTTTAACCACTCGAATGTACTTTTAAACAAGAAAAAACTATATATCTTACATCATATATCTTGCAATGATCGATGGAAAAGTGTGTAGTGCGATCATTGGAACGAAGTCATCACAAAGATGTGAAAAGATATTGAAAAAGTTTTTAAAAAAACCTTAGATTCGGGGTATCAACACTATATGCTTGGATTAGATTTTGTGACAAACAATCAAAAAATGCTAAGCTCGAAGTGCTGACGAAAAGAAGAGAGTGTGATGATAGGAAAAAAGAGGTTCAACGAGAATTTCGCTTAGAGTTGGGGCTTATAGTTGGCAACCCAAAACCCAGATTTGGTAGTTTCAATTATGGCAATTCAGCTCGAAAATAGCGAAGCCTCTGCTAGCAAAGCAAGTATTGACGAGACGTTAATTACGCGTTTTATATCATTCTGCAAGTCGAAAAGTTTGCTGTTGACACAGCAAAACTATTTAATCAGTTGTATCCATGGTATTATATGCCAACTTCTGTGCATAAACTATTAATACATGGAAAACAAGTAGCAGAAAATGCGCTATTACCAGTTCCACAATTATCCCAAGAGGCTCAAGAAGCCAGAAATAAAGAAGTATCCTGAAGATTTCTCTCCAAAGTTTTCTCGTGTAAAAACAATGGAGGATGTTTCCAATACACTTCTTGTATCCTTACATCTCTAGCCTTAGGAAGCATCCAAAGAAAAAACTGGAACAAATTTCTGCCGAAGCCCTAGAAATGCTAATATCGAGGCTGTTCTCAAGATTCTCTACATGCCTCAGATAAAGATAATTACATTTAAATCGATTCCGAGTTGAGTGAGAGTGATTCAGAATTATAATTAGTTAGTCGTCCTTAAATTTAATTTAAATTAAGAGTAATAATTAGTGAGTAGTCCTTGAATTTACCTTAAATAGAAATATATAAATATCTTTTAGTTTTTCTGGTAACAATTAATATATTTTATATACTGACTCGCATTACATTTTTTTTATTACAATTATAAGTGAGGTAGCCAGAAGGGTCAAGATTTAAACTACCCTCCAGATACCTAAGATATATTGAATAATCTGTGACAATGCCCGATGCCCTAATGCTTTACCCTATATTATATAATATAGAAAGCTCCGTTTGAAAATATTGACTTTTGGGGCAACTTTGCAGACGAAGGCGCTAAATAATAATAAGTTCTAGTATCAGTAGAAATAGAGATGGGATTACGGAAATAATTTTCAAAAATGTTCAAAAAATGAACGTAAGTATTGTCTATGGCGCCCGATTGAAAAAAACGAAAAGTTCTTGCTACTGATAAGCCACGACAATGCGATACGGAAAGTATATTTCCGAAACTATTGTTATTTTTGTTATATTTGGTTTTTGAACCACCTCGTACAATTTAACCAGAGGTAATAATTAAGCCTTGTGTCAGTTTATCCCATAAACATCGTTATGTAACGAATCATTTATTAATTACAAATATCGCCTAAAACGATTTCTGCTATTAAAAACAAACGTCTACTCTATCAACGCCTGAAGTCTCCTCGGAGCGCAATTCCTTGAACGGACGGCGAAGATTCAGAAACCGTCCTGACATAAATTCTAAAAATAGTCATGAAGAAGTCGTTATTTTTCAACTAACTATATAAGATTCCGTGTTGAAAGTGATCCTATCAGTTTTGGTGGATGTGCGAATACGTATAATGCGAACAAAGGACGATGAATCTGCAATTGGCGATAGTGTTTGTTGTCACTTTTAGTTTCTCGAATTCCTCGCCTTGTGGAAGTCCTTCACCTTATCCTCAGTTCTTGCCGGTGGCAGTAAAAGTGGGTAAGTTGAACGTTTCGTCGAATTAAAATTAAATAATTTAACAGATACGCCGGGAAAGAAAGCAGTTACGAACCAAGATCGACTGTTAATAATATACACTATTATATATAAAGAATTATTTTATTAACAGTTTGGAATAAAATAAAGCAGTACTGGCAAACAGAGCGTTAAAACATTCCAAGGTGATTTCTATCTAACATGTCGGGTATAACATCTACTTGAGTTGAGCTACAGTTCCTCTTAATGTGACACACGACTTCATTAGAGGGCACTGTGTTGGTCGTATCTCGACTACTCTAGGGCTTTTCATACCATTAGTCACAATATTCCGTTCCCCGTTGGGGAGGCATCTGTGAATTTAATAAAAAACTTACTTAAGCAAAATGTGATCTTGGACCGGGTCGAGTCTGCTTACCTAGACATAAAAAGTGGAGTTCCATATTTTAGCTCCGGTTTTGTTTGTTATTTACACAACATGATTCTTAGATTTCTTCGAGTACTGTAAACTACAGTCATATATTGACGACAATCATCTCTACCGTGTTTTTGACCAATCTAGCTTACAGCTTGTCTGCCAAAACATCAACAGTGACCGTCAACAGAATTTCTAAAACTTATGGGTTGTTCTTAACCCCAAAAAAATCTACGGTTTTTCGGCCGTCCATTGCTTTTGAAATATTTGCAATAATAGGCAATATTATTCTGCAATTAGAAAACGAAGCAAAAAATGGGGGGGTTACTTTTAGACACAAAATATTGAAAATGGCATCTCGACTTCTACACAAACAGCTATTAGTCGTCTAAAAACTTTATAGCGACAATAAATTGTTTTCCACTAAGCTAAAAACCCGGTTTCTTTAAAAAATGTAACAAAAACTGAGCAAAAACTATGCTTTCATTTTTACCTGTTAGTTTTGTTTGAGGTTTAGGTTTAGGTCTTTTTTCCTATATTCGAGGTGTAAACTCCCCAGATATATGCCAACGTTTTTTCCAATTCTTGAAGCACTTATGGTAAGCACTTTCTGCTATAGCATTGAGTTCGTCCAGAGATGTTTTCTTTATATCCTCGATCGTTCCAAATCTCGTTTCTTTTATGAGTGTCATGAGTTTTCGGAACAGGAAAAAGTCGCAGGGGGCCATATCCGGTGGCTGAGGATGATAGTACTTTTGTTTTTGGCCAAAAAGTTGTTTTCCCAAAATTCCGGACTTATTCTTCGCATTGCTGCTCGCAACGGCGCATAACTTCAAGGTAATGCTCCTTATTGACCGTACGACCTTGTGGTAAGAAAAAACTAAGCAAAACCTTGACATTTGATAGAACTTAACGTGCTTTTTTCGGTCTTGGTGATTCCATTGGGACCACCGATCTTTGATTTCGAAGTAATAACCATATACCCATGATTTATCACCAGTTATGACCTTTTTGAGTATTTTGTTAAACAGCTCTTGAACGATACTCCTTCCACGGTACTTTCGTACAAATTTAAACAGCTTTGTAACAAATTTTGCATCTACACGTTTTATGCCCAAAATTTCGGAAAAAATGCATGGCACGAGAAAATAGAGATGCCACTTCTCTAATGGTGATTCGAAGATTTGTTAATACCATTTGTTTGACTTCTTCAACGCTTACATGAGTTTTTTTGCTCAAAGTAGATTCACCATATTTCATTTCAAGTATTTTGCAGCACTGTATTCCATTTTTACGCCAATCTTTTGTTTTTTTTTTTGTACAGCGGAAAATCGCCAGCACACAAAACAGGTCTAACGCTTCTGTCTCACAAAAAAAGTAAAAGCGCAAATTGGCTGAAACTGTAAACATATGTTAGGGACATGTGAACCAACATAACAAAATAATATATCGAAGATCGAATGCACGTGGGTCCGCCCAATTACAAACGTCACCTGACTTTTTGAACACACTTCGTATAGGCACAATATGAAATTTTAGTTTAAACCATATAAGAATTGTGTAATTCAATCAAAAATTCAATAATTCAAAGCTCTAAAATATTACGATTACTATATGTATGTAGATTGACTCGCAAATATAAATTTCATTAAAACCTAAAACTGAGCATTAACTGCATTAACACCGATGTTTATCAGGTCGCATGGAAGTCGGTTGCAATTCTGGGCAACAACGGCATACATCTAAAAAAAAATCTTGGTCACAAATTTCGGTTTAAATAACATATAACTTCAAAACTTAAAGTCACATGCTTTTCTTTTATAAAATATTGAAATACGAAAACCGATTAGATCTCTTAGACCGTAATGCAAATATACATAGAAAAAAATTTCTAACAATTCTATCATACCATAAGCGCTCCTTTTCTTGCGGCATAGCATTTTACATCAATATATTTGGCGGACATAATTTCTCTTGCAATTTTTTTGTCAGCAGTAAGGTGTTTTATAATAATGGATATGCTTTTTTATTTCATACCTATATTAAAATCTTTTTTCCTTTTTTTCTCAGAACCTTCTTATCTCCCTTACAAATATATTAATTAGTGCGTAGTTAACTTAAGAGTTACATGTTAGGGTTAGATACATATCTATGGACCTTTTTATTTGTTTATATTAATATTTTGTAGGGATAGTAATAGTGTTTGTGATTAATAATATCCATTTAGAAGCTGTAAAATGGCTTTATTGTAGTATTACTTTTTACAAAACTTCTGCATTGCTCCTGCGTCGGTTTTTGCTGAGTCGAAATTACTAAAGTTTCGCCAATCATCCTGCCGGCTTCTTCTTCTTCTTGTAGTATTGTTTATATGGTAACGTTAATAAATAAGTATTTAATTAAAGTAATTTAATTTATATTACTATTATTACTAGTTTCTTAGGAATAAAACTGGATCAAAAACTGACTTGCAATAATGACATTAATTTCCTGAATTGTAAAATAGATTCAAATTGCTTTGTAATACATTTAAGGGAAACCGCCTCAAACGAAAATTTATTTAAAATACAGAAAATTGTAATTAACGTGGTGCGTATGTTCAAAATATCAAAAACTTCCAGCAAAATTTGTTTTGCATGTTTGGGCATGTAGATATTACCATCGCTTTATGAAAACAACAAGTTAAAAAAAAACGTCTCTTCACGTTAAACTTACACCTCACGTTTCTTCAATTTAAGTAAAAAATGAAGGAATTCCTTACTGAATAGTGCTACTACTCGCTACCAGATTTTTTATTGAATACTTACGAAACAACTGATTCCTCAATTTTATTTTCTGATTTGTACTGTGAACCATTTCATATTTTGATTGCAACATTTATATTTTCTTTCTTCTGTTGACATTCTCAGTGTAATTGTACAATTTAAAGTATAGAAATCAATTCTATTCAATCATATTGTATTCTATACGTCTCAGGCAAGTAGTAATCCATTCAATGGGTATTTTCAATAGCATCTGACTGGTAATAAATTAAACCTTGCATAATTCAAACAAAAATTACTAAAACAAATAGTAAAACATTATGTATTTCTAATACTATACTAATACTATACTATAATAAATTCTCTAAAGCGTCTATTCTTTTTTTAATATTTCGGCTCCACATTACTGAAATCAAGATAATACGCTTTCTTTTCAGATTATGCACCTCCTCCTCTAACTAGAATCAAACATCATGGATCTTCACATAATGCGTTTGGTAAAGCTAAATTCCTAAAAAAGTTGATAACTATATAAACCCATCATTTTAGATTTTGAAAAATCGTCAGCCCCTACCATAAAAGACAAGGATGAAAAGAACGGTAACTCATGTAACAGAGCTGAGTGCAATTAATTATGTCCTTGGTTTTCAGAAATACCGAAGAAAGAGGACGCCAATTTGGTTGTCACGTCTTTAACAGGAAATAACAAGTCCGAACCAATTAGTAAGTGACCAATATTAAATTTGCGATAACAAAATTTGTATACTAATTGAAAATGTCGGCTGTACTGTTATATTTTCTTTAGATCTTCTTGCACTCTCGACACTGCGTGATCAAAATGAAAGTCAACGTAAGAACCCTATTTCTGAATGATAATTCTTCTTAACTATAATATATAAAAATTTCAGTACCACCTAAACGGCTCAACAATAAAGCAAGACGGCGCAGGGTAAAGCCAAAGGATTCGAAGAAGTTAGTTATAAACCAAAACAGCAACAATTATTGTGAGTACAGAAACAGCTTTCCAATTTTTAGATCCACATTGGAATTCCACATTTTAGGGTCCCTGAAATCCATTAACGATAAACCTGCGTACGAAGTATTAGTTACGGATAAAGGTAACCGAAAACTTATTAAACCATTTTGATAATTAATTAAAAACGTATTTTTTAGCGTCGGTGGCACGAGATCTGAAGGACACTACTGAGAGTGCTCTCATTACCGTTCAGAAAATGAAAACATAGGATTACGTCAGTGATAACAATGTAAAGCTTTTGGCATAATAAATATCTTTTTCGAAGCCGTCAGTCGGAATCATTTTTTCTAAAACTACATTCATAGAATGGTTAATATTCTGGAATATCGATAGGTTGTGCGGACTTTATTTAGTCGGTATTCTTCAATATTTTACCTTACTGTGAGTAAATCTTAATATGTCCTATAAACCGCAGTGTTTTTACAATAATACTTTACTCTATAAATAGTGCATTTTCTTACTTTATTTTCTTACTTTTTAAATTAAATAATGATTTCAATTTTAAAGCATTGTGTCATAGGTAAGTAGGCACTCCAAAATCAGTTTCCATTTGTACCTTTTTTAAATTAATATCTTGACTTAAGATCTCAATTTTGAACTAAAAATTTCCTTACTGTTAATTACTAAATCCCAATTTATCGCAAATTATCTTATCCAAATATCCTTCAAAGGGAGATTTTGGGAGACTTTTTGTTCAGTCTACTACTATTGACTGTTATAATTTATATGTTTATCTCATCTAGATTACATCAAATGTTAGGAGTATGGAAAGATGCTTATACCGATCCAGAAATATTTAATTACAAAAATTTAAAAGGAATACATTTTTTACCATGAATGTTCATTTTTTTAGTATATCATCTTCCGTTTTTGGTTAGCAGTTCCAACAATAAGAATATAACGATTGTACTAACGAAGCCTAGATGAAAATGGTTTTCGGGAAGATTCGAGGAAAACTATTATCTCATTGACTTTTCTTGTTAGATTTAATTTTCCTAAAAATACACATTACCAAAGTACCGGATTTTGCAAAACGTTGTCTTGAAAAAATGCTTTGCTCACCTGTTATATAAACTATTTTATAAATTGTTATACAAATTTCTATTTAAACATTATTTTTCAATCATAAGTAATATAACATGTATATATAATCTCCAGTTCTAAGAAATATTAATTGCTATTAATAAATAAAGAAATAAGTAAGAAAGCATTAAAAAACATTTTGACAAATATTAAAAAATACAGGGATTAACTAAAATTAAAAGTTTAACTCTCTCATCAAAAGATGGGGTGCTAACAAAACACTCTCATTAATGGCTATGTAGAGGGTTTCCTGATTTATATTTTTAAACTCACCTCACAGAGTATATTAAAGGGAATAGAAAAAAACTTTTTTCACAAAAATTATGATTTTTTCGAAATTATCTTCTGAATGTACCAGTAAAAACAATTGAGTGTCGCAAATGTAGGAAAAATGAGAAAAATAACTTTTTGTAATGGAACACCGTGTATATTTCTTTTCAAGATAAAAGTACTTTATTTTCAAAAACATAGCGTATCGGTATTCGATGAAGCTATTTTTGATATAACTAAAGTTTATTATTGAAAAGTAAAATTCAATTATCAACATCATTATCACCATGGTAAATAAAATATTTTTAATAAGTCTTTTCTATTCCCTTCTCCAAAATGTGCAATTATATACCAATATAGCGTCAGTTTCGTTTTGAAAAATATGAGTTTTGGATAGGAAGGCATGATCGAACTGTTAGATGGCCTCCGAATAGACCTGATTTAAATCCTCTTAACCTACTCGTAAATATATTACGATAGTCTATTAAAAAAAAAATTACGATAAGGAATTGTTAAGCCACAGAGCAAACGATGTACATTTAGTTGAAAGTTTGTGAATTAATCATTATTTTGAATTACTGTTGGACTAAAAAATATAGATATATAACTAACAACTAAAATTAATTGTTTCAATGTTAATGTTTATTCTTAACTTCTACCAGTGAATAATAAAATCGACTTATTTCAAAGACGCCTAAACGAAATACCCACAAATAAATATTATTGAAATCGAGTTTAAAGGAGCTTTGACAACGATGATTTGGTTTTATTATTTATTACTTATTATTATTATTATTATTATTAAAACCCTGTACATCCACGTGGAAAGAGAAAGGAAAAAATAAATAAAAATAAATTTTTTTTGAAGAGGATCTTCAAAGAGTATGTTAACAGCTTCCTGGATGAGAAGAGTTGCAGTTTGTAGGATATTTAAGACTATAATAAGAGAAACTTGTATAATGAAACCATAATCTTTACATTTGAGGTGAACAATTGTTTATCTCGAACATTTAGCTAGGATTTTAAGTGCTTCCACGACATTTTTTGTCCAAAAAATTGCTTATTGCTGCCCTTGTGCCCTTTGCTGTTGATATTGATAAGACAAATAAATCCATCAAATCTTAAGTCCCAGACCTTTGGCAATTTATTTCTCGTATACTTCTCTTTCCTACGTTTTTTTCTATCATATTTTGTTAGTCACTTATCAGATTTCATTTCCTAACAGGCAGAATTTATTTTGTTATATAATTTTAATTTCCCAAGTGACAATCTCATTTAAATAATAAGTCAGTTTATTTTCGGGACACACAGTATATGGGCTTAGAAGAAACCCGTTTTTTAAGATTTAATTGAATAATTAAGCAAAGGAAAGGAAGTCTTAAATCTTTAACCAAGTGATCGGAAATAACATTAGCGTAAAATTAAACCGAAAGGAATAAAAAAAAAACATATCTTCAAAACGAGACCGAATCTAGCGACGCAATAAAGGGAGGTAACCGTGGTGCCCCCCTGGGTTTCACGACAGGACCCCCGCCGACTTTTTAACCGAAACACCACTCTCTAATATTGTCGTCGCTGTACCCATTGTCATTTGTATCCTTTATACTCCCCTGGCTTAATGGACTTTTAAAGACCACGTTTGACGATACGGAGGACCAGGGAATTGTTCTTTTTCGCCACTGGCCACTTTCCAACGTCTAACAAAATGTGGTAAATGCGTGGATAGATGGCAGTACAAGAATGTGTTGATAAAAATCATTTTGCGAGAAAGAACGATGTTATTGAGCGTTTGTTACTTGATCTGGAAATTGTTTTTCCTGGTTAACAAGACATATAAAACGGCGAGCCAGTATATCAGCCTGGCAACAGGTTACGGTCTTAATTGACTTTCCAGAAGTATTCGAATGCACACATCAGGAATTACTTTGTGCTAAAGTAAAGGACTTTGGTTTCGCAAATCGATTGTGTGATTGGCAAGTTGCCTCAGGAGCACCACAGGGTTCAATTCTCAGCTGTTTCTCACATTTAATTCAGTTAACCAATCTTTAGTTGGATCTTAAGAGCCATAAACAATATAATTTGGACGAAAAGGTTTACTCTTAAGCTAAGTTCTAATTATGCTATTTGCCAATTAGAAAATGATAGTCTTAAATTTAGAATTGCAGTAAAGATGTGCTGGAAATTAGTAAATGATCTTTTTCATTCCCTTGTTTTCAAACTGCCCGAAAGCTCTGACATTCATGGCGCTTTCGCATCAATCGAAAACCACCCCAGCCAAGACACTTAATCGAAATAGCTTGTTCCTTTTAATTGCTCGAAAGTTTTGTCAATTACATAAGTTCTTCTTGAGCTATTTGAATTACTGCAAATTAGATTTAAAGCTATATGGATTTGACATCCTCAAGTTGTTAAGCCAACGTGTCTATTGGAAATACGAAGCTAGGTATATCATCTTGTAATTTCTGAATACTTGCCATCATGCAACAGAACAACATGTTTTATTTTGCCACAACCTGCTTGTCGATTTGAATGAATCTTTGTGAGGGCTGAATAATACACAAGCCAATACGAAAGTTAAATTCCTAGAGACCAACGCGGATCTTTTAAAGTTTGTACCTGGAGATAAATTACAAGCAAGCTTTAAGAAAGGGGAGTCAAAAACAAAGTCGTTAACGAAGTTAGTCCAGTGATTGTTCACCAGCTGCTGTTGGGTAAGTTATGGCTTGATTAATTGAAATCCATTCGTTTAGATTCCACTATATCAATTATAATTATAAACTTTGTTTATAATTTATTTTATTCATTTGATTTCATTTGATCGACAAAGGTATTACCCTCAAAAACACAACTTAAACTTGTCCAGATTTATTTAGCGTTATCAAAGAGGTCCTACAATACTGCACTTTTCCTATTGGTTAATCTGGTGTGATAGCACTTGCATTTCATATACGATTGTACTGCCTGTCAAAATATTTGCTATTATGATGGTATATACAGTACAGGTAAAATATTCAAAGTAGCAAAGCGTTTGGTCCAGGTATCCTTTGACCAACGAAATTCTCTTTTCTTCAGAAGTAGATAAACGATTTTCATTTTCATTTTCCATTTTTTTAAAACAATTTGAGGTTTGAGGTTTGCGATCTCAAAAGACTACAAACTTCGTGATTTTCGGTCTCCAGGTGAGTAGATCCGATGTATAAGTCTGGAATGCTTTACTCCAATAGATCCTTGGAAGCTCTTACTCATACTGTTACCCAAATCATTTCATCTCAGGTAACTATTAGTACTCTATCGAACACAGGTCTTAGATATAATAGTGGGCAGTTCTTGACAATGATGCAGATAGACCGATGGTGGAAATGTTCAGTCCCCAGAAATTTGTTAACCAGTTTAACCCGCGAAACCTAAATACGAACCATTTTGGTGTTGTAAAAATATCACTCTTTTTATTGTGGCGCAGTTTAATAGGTGCTTACGCTCATCTGTTGCAAATACGCCAATAAACGTTATTTGCGTGAAAAAGGGCCCATTTTAGAGGTATCAACAGGCGTTTATTGCTTCAACGCGAGCAACGCGACGATTTAAACGAAGTTATTGTCAGAAGGCGGCGAAAAGTTAAATACAATTTTGCAGGTACAAGATTCTAATGAAAATACACAAATACATCATATTTGCTAGTTTTTCAAGCTGATCGAAATCAATGTTTTTTCTTTCAATATGTTTATGGTTATGTCACGGCTTTCAAAGAATGCATTTTAAGGCAGATATCGATATATCGCAGAGATAGGTAGATACTTTCCGCGCTTTTAGTGAGGATTACAATAACCTTTATTTTTCCGGCATAACCAATTCTGGTTTGGTATGGTCCGTTCATAGATATAACACAGTGACCAATTGCTTGTGAATGGGATTTTCCAA